GTGCTGCTTCAAAATAACTAACCAAACTACTGTACCAATCATGATTATTATGCAATGAAATACACTTTTTACATGTATTTTAATGAATCTCATCGACACTCTGTAAATGTCTAAAAACAGAAGAGTGGGCTTATCCTTAGGGAGGGGCTTATGCTCAGGGAGGGGCTTATGCTCAGGGAAGTATGGTATATATTTTTTTGTGAACTTGTGTCACTGACCACTTCACACATACATTATAACATGCAGGTTTTTTTTCTAACTTTTATTTCACTTTTCTACATAGTCTGAATATTTTGAATCCTTGGCAAAGCCCGGCACCATCAGTAAACTGGTCAGTAGACTTGTATTGGACAGTAAAGGACAACCAACTGTACAGTGTGAGGTACACTGTATTGTTAAAGGTGTAGAAAGGGTAAGAACTAATAGCTTCCAGGCTCATGTCTCTAAACTTGTATTCTTATCTATGGCTGGAAAATGAAAAATTTGTGGTATCCACAATTAAAAATAATGATGAATATTAGTAAATTGTATATGTTATAAAATGACAGATGCCGTCTACATGACTTTGAAGTAATCGGGTGTGACCAGAGCATTAGAATAAAGTTCCAGCACTTCCATCTGATTCAAAATCAGTGATGACACTCACTAACTAAATTCCCTCAAATATATATGCTGCTTATACATAGCATTGTCATTAGTGTGATTAATAGAAATGGCCCAGTCAATTTAGAAATATATTTGTAATGTATTTTGCCTGTGATTTCTTCATTTGTTTCACATTCTGATTACTAAGTACTGTTATGGAAAACAAAACTGGGTTATCATAACAAGCTCAAAGTTAATTAAGATTTTTTCATTCCTAGCACTTGAGCACGTCAAGTGTTGCCAGCCATAACACTCTGGCAGAAAGTGCTCCAATTGAAAGAAAAGAAGCTGATGATCTTGAGAGGCTTCAGTTTGTAGAAGCAGCCATCGAATACATAAATGGACCTCTCTGTGAAAAAATCAAAGGACTTGATCCTACGAATCAAAAGGAAATTGATTCCTTGATATGGTAGGTATCATTCCAAAAATGGTAGGACTGTATGTGCTCTATTAGAAGCACTTTTCCTAAGTAGTGCACACAGATCAAAAGTTTTATTTATTGTATGTTGGATCATTAAAATACAACCATAAACACATCGCTGTCATTTGCATAAATGCATGTGTGACTAATAGAGCAATTACAGTAACCTTGTTCTTTCTCAACACTTAACAAGTATGACCTGTTTGTAGGATTCTAATTATTCTTCACAAACGTGCTCTGCATGAGAAAAATTGAAATACCACATCTGCTCTAATTTTGAAACATATACACCAACTAATGTTGTTTTGGCTGCACCAACCAAATTTTAATTTGATATGTTAACTGCTTTGTGAGTAAGTTTATGTGAAATCTGTTCTCTTTGGGATTGTCTGTAATAGAAAAGAAAACACATTTACTGATGTATGTCAAAGGTCAACATTTTGGTTCATGTATGGTTCTATTGAAGACGTGCTTCTACATATACTAGAGCTAATACTGTTTTCGGAACATCTGTATACTGTAATCTTGTACATGTAATTCGATGATAAATTGTGAATCACTGAATGAAGGAAAAATCATTGTAGAAGTTTGTCATGGTCATTTTTAATTTATCCCTAAAAACAGTGAAACACTTGAACAATTAAAAGCAGAACACGAAGAGCGAGAGAGGAAATTAAAAGAAGAGCAAGCTGAAGAAGAGACGCCACAGCAACAGAAGGAGCCTGTCAAAGAAGAGAAGTCTTCTCCCAAAGCTAAAAAGAAAGGCAGTGCCAAATCCGCTGCTGTGGTGGCTGAAGAACCCAAAGAGCAGTTTTTCGTTGGATGTAACTCCATCTGTGCCCTATCTCAGAGTGTCCTACAGACTGCAGCTACATTGAAAAAAGTCCAGTTGTTTGAATATGTAGCTAGTTTAAGATATAACGAGGTTAGAATCTCAAATATACTGATATATTTTTTTAAAACATCTGTTATTTTCTCTATTTTATTGCAAATAATAATTGTCAATAATATTACATTTGTTTTGGCAGGCTCCTGATAAATACAGACTCCCCCTGCCCATGGCAAGCATTTTAAACTTTGGTAAGGCAGCAGCTTGTAAATTAAATCTATTCAAAGAAGTTATGATCATGCCAAAACCAGACAAACCACTTTCAGAGGTATGATCTAGTATTTATAGACATGAAATAGAAATTTTAAGATAACTTGAAATTTTATTTACCCAATGCATGATTTTATTTCGCTCTAACTTTTCACATTCTGATTTCTAAGAAAGGCAATATATTTCAACAGTTTTTTTGTATAATTATCAGATTCAGTATAGTACAGTAAGCTTAATGAATGGGATTATTTTTTTCTTTTCTTTACGTAGGCAATTAAACAAATAAGTGACATCTATAACCAAGTCGGCAAAACCCTCTTTACAAAGTACGGGGTAAGTATTTTTGGAAAACTTATTCAGGAATCATTATGATCACTTGTTCATTTTTGATTATTTATTTACATGAAAACAAAATAAAAATTCTACTGATGTATGTTTTATTGCAGGTTGCTGTGAAGAATGTCAATGATTTGGGTTGTTTTATACCTGCCTATGATAAACCTGAGCAAGCATTAGATGTATTACAAGAATCAATAACTCAGCTTGGTTTCACACCAGGTGAAGATTTCCATATTGTACTCAACTGTGCTGCTCATGAGATGTTTGATATGGTAATGTATACTCCCTCATAACTTTGTTGGTTATCAAATACTTTTTTGTTTTGATTTGGGAAACTGGTATACTGTAAAATACTTTATATTAGCTGGAATTTATTTTTGCTTAAAAGACTTATTGTGTGTATTGTATGGAATTTATTTTCACTGATTTTTGACGAGTTGAATGTAAAATAAAGGAAAAAGGGTATATATGCTGGATTCTATTTTCACTGAATCATTTCTTCAGTGAAAATAGCGAAAATTAATGAATTCCAAGTGAAAATAAAGTATTTTACAGTATCTAGATTTGCTTGAAATTGTCATAGATTGTGCACATGTATTTTATGCATAGTGTGCATATTGCATGTGAACCTATCAAATATAATGCAATGTAATGACTGATTACAATCAGCATACAGGTACTTCTAGTAATGCAAACACTATACACCATTCATAAAGAGAGATTGGACATTGGTAGATACTGAACTCTGATGGCAGTCTGTACTAATTTTCGTCTTTTTGCAATGAACTTCAGTTTTGTTATACTGCCCTCGACGGTGATAGTTGGGTGTTGATCAGTTGCAATAAATGCTTTGTTGTAAGTTTGCTCTCAATTCAGACACCTGCGTTTATGTAATCCTAGGTCAATTTGTCTGATGTCTCCTTTACTGTATTCTGTACTTGTAATTATGCAAGAACTGTATGTAGTTTGGCTTTGACCTTTCATTTATCACAGTTTAAACAGAAAAGCCAACTTATATTACCTGTCATGAAACAAACACACATAATTGCTTCCATATTTTATCACAGCATTTGATAAATTACTCAACAAAACATTGTGATCATTTGGTTTCAAATAAACAAAGAAACTATTTAAAACATAATAATGTGCACCAACATGGCAGGTAAAATTCTAGCATGCTTTCCACCCACCATATCTATTTATCACTGTGATGTATCATTCATCATTGCTAATAATATATTCTTGTAGGACAAGGGGAAATATGAGATGGTAACAGGAGTATTTAAAGGACCTGACGATATGGTAGAGGTGTATAATGATTTAGTAACCAGATATCCAGCAATTATTGCCATCATTGACCCACTGAAACGACAGGTAAGTATTAATACAATTTCAGAATATTTACATCATTGTTTATTTTGTCTTCAATGTGTAATTACAGCTGGGTTAATTTTAAAATGGGTTAATATTCAGGATTGTTGCAATCAAAGCTTTCACAATAATGCACATGTTTTTTAACACTTTGAATGTCATGTCAGAGTTGCCACATTTCATTAAAATACTGCTAAGTGGCATAATTGTGATCGAAAATCAACTTGTATCCAAATGGGTAATTTGTCCTAAAATTAATAAAACTAACACTGAAATGTTGGCATTCAATGTCTTGTTTGTCTAATAGAATGGTACTGCAATGTCATAAGAAGTTTAGTTGTGTTTACAGTACATAGAACAGATTGGTGAAATATCAGAATGTTGCCCAGAGTTCTAAAATATTGAAATATGTGTGTGCACACTTCACAATCTGTTAAGATTTCAGCCTGCAATATCATAATTCAGGCACTGTGAAACCATGAAGCTGTGAAAATAAATAATAAAACCTTCACATATTTACAGAATTTGTTTAAATCTAACCATGCATGTTTTGATTGCTAGGATTCAGAACCATGGCTAAAGCTGTGTGAGAAACTTAGTGAGAAATGCTACATCATTGGTGGTCATGTCTATCCACGTACTGAGAGATTTCTACAAGAGGGGTTTGGTGATGTGAAGTCTAGTGCTGTTGTATTGAAACAACAACAGATGACATCAGTCTCTGATACCATTGATGCTGTCAAATTTCTAGAAGGTATGAACAGAAAAATTGTTGCAATGCAGATATTCATCCAAACTATAGTTTATTAGTGCTCATATTGTCAAGAGCCATATAAAATAAACAGTTTTATTTCTGATTATTGAACTGATAAACTCTACATTGCAAATCAAATGGTTTGGTTAAATATTAAAAAGTTCAGGAAAATGAAAAAAAAAATGTGAACAGTGTAATATCAAGAAGAAAATGTAGACAAACACGCCATTGATCTTTTTTTCTCTTATGTTTACATTATATTCTTGTATCAACAGGTGAAGGATTAGATAGTGTCATATCCTGTGTGCAAGGTGAGAGTGGGGACAGTTCAATTGCCGACTTGGTAAGTCTTACTAGTATGTACGTCTATAGATATGTAGAATTTACAATGTGAATGTAGAAAACATTGTTTACTTGTGTGTTGTACCTTTTATATGTTTTGTGTATATTTACTGGTGACAATAAACTGATAGTAAATATAGAACACTGTTTTAAAGTTGATATCATCTTTAATGCTTTATTGGGGTCTTGGGACTGTTATCACTGAAAAGTGGATATATATTATATTTTTTCCACAATATGCACAAAGTCGGGCCATTACTTGTTTCATTGTTCAACGACCGCAGGACTGATCTCAGAGTGCAAATTTAACACTATAGACCTTAAAAAACCATTTATAAAAATGTCCTTTAAATTTATTATACGGTCCTATTTAAGCTGCAGCACTTTAAACAACAAGTTAAAAAATGTAGATCATTTCTCCTGCTCTATTTATTCATATAAACCCTCTTATGGGTAAAGCAGCTGTTAAACATAACTTTGTGCATCTGTCTGTTTTGAAATATCAGCTAATAATTTATTATTTTCAGGCTGTTGGTATGGGGTCAAAGTTCATACAGATAGGTGCACCTTGCCGAGGAGAGAGGGTGTGTAACTACAACAGACTGTTACAAATTGAGTCTTGGTTGAAAGACAAAGATGCACTGAGTTACTACGAAAGTCATGAATTTCCCAACATACTGCCGCCTCCACCTCCAGAAGAACCCGTGGATGAAGTTGATAATTAAAACTATAATGCTGAAGATAATATCCATACTCTTGAGAGTCAGTAGACATAATGCTGGTACATTCAAATTGTGTACACCAGTATGAAAAAAACAACTGAGTAATGACCATAATCTGTTATCAACTCCTGCTATATACATATGCATCTCAAATTTCTGACATTGGGAAATCCTGCATGTCAGATAGATGTACACAGTTTAAAATAGAGGACTGTGTATAATTTCCGGTCTGGGGAGTAAATTTGTATGCAACAAGCCCCACACAGTGAATGAATTCATGAAATTCTGTTACAGTAGAGCTTTCTTTGAGTCTGTAACTGATTTACTAATGTGTCTGAGCAAGCCAGTGCACTCTCATTTCCAAAGCTTTACATACAAGTGAATAAAACAATACTGTTGCTTTATTTGCTCTATTAGAAATACACTCACTCCTTGAAAATCACAAGGAATTTAATCAGGGTTTCATGTCACTGACCACATGGTGGGTTAAGGTTGGTTTATATGATCAGCTTTATTGGATGCAACTGCCTCCGATTAAACTGATGACAAAATAGGTGTTTACAATGTCAGATTCATCTGATGAAATTGAACTTCAGACATCAGACATCAAATTCTGTGTTCAGATCAGATTAATTGGACCTCTAAGTTTAAGTATATCTGATTTTTAAAAATCTTAGCAGACATTGGATTTTGCAGTTTACATGGTGTAATTGAACTGATTTCTCTGGACATGTAAACTGGCCTTTAGTTGATCAAAAACTCTTACATGTAATTGAATCACATCAAGATCTTCCCACCTTGTATTTTTTACATAACCTTTTGATTTGCCTTCTTCTCTGCTAAAACTTGTAACATAACATATACAAACTGCCTATTACCTGCTCACTTAAGATCTTTCTGTAAATAATGTTATATGTATATTTAATCTGTAAATTATAAACCATGGTTTGAATTGATGTATATTTTGACCCATATACTGTCCTCACAAATAAGTATTTTCTAGCGCGACAGAACAGATATGTAGTGTGAAGATTTATGAAGGCTTTATTACATGCTACATTTGTA